CCTTTTTTGACATGGAGGGCTCAGGATTCCCAGACTCGGACAGAATCAGGGTGAGTTGATGATCATCCAAGTTTTTCAAAAGTTACATTTTCCACCACAAAAATACTCTGACATTTGTTATCCAGGGGGCCTCGCGGTCCCTTGGGAATTTCTGATCTTGTTCACATTTCATATTTGCATGGATCTGACTTGGTTTTCATTCAAATTGTTCAAATTATAATGAACATAATTCCAAAATCGGTAATTAAAGTTGAGTTTTTCCATGACATAATGCGTTTATGATTTGTTATCCAGGGTGGACGTGGCCTTCCAGGTCTGCCAGGGCCCCCCGGCCCCCCTGGGACTTCAGTGGCAATGGGACCCAACGGCCCGGTAGCTTTCGGACCTCCAGGATCGCCGGGACAGGACGGAGTTCCCGGAATACCGGTGAGGAGCAGGAGGCTCTTTCTTCTCTAAAGAGATTCATATTTCATTCATGAGATGGTTGTCAGAAAATAATTGTGTGTTAATAATTGCTCTGACAACTAATTGTTTCTGGAGGTTTAAAAATCCTTCATAATATCAATTAGATGATAAACAATCCATTATCATACATTTAAAGTAAAAACACCTTTGAGGTACCGTACATACCTTTTTGTAGAAATTCCTATCTGAAAAATATATTTTTACTTCATTAAAGATATGAGGCACTTTATATTGAAAAACAGGGGTCTTTTATTGTTTGTTTTTTAATTTATGTTCTTTTATTTGAATGTATGGAAGAGCCCATTAGTAAAATTGTCCAAAGCTTTTGTTTGTGAGTTCATATAAATATGATTTATTGTGGTGAATGCCTGGTCATATGATATCATTTCATAGTCCTTGAAATTACTTGAATCAAAATAGTATCCAGGCAGACTTGGTGCTTGTGTATCATTCTCTGAATTATTAATATGATATCACTTGATGACACTTTCCTGAACCAATAGAAACCTATTTTCACTATTTCTTATAATAATTAATTATGTATATAATAAATACATTTTTAACCCTGACTGTTTATTGTGCTATTCAGGGACCGCCTGGCCAGCCAGGAAGACCGGGTCTACCGAGTCCCGGAGGAGAGAGGGTGAGAGTGTAAACGTGTCAGCTACTGAATCCAAGAGGAGAAAAACATTGGAACATTTTTATTTATCACAATCCATTTTATACTTTTCTCCTAAATCAATTTCCTCTCCAGGGTGAAGGTGGGGATCTTGGTCTTCCAGGAGTAGCTGGAGAAAAGGTGGGTTACATCTGAATTGTATCATCTAATGAAGTTTTGCATTTGAACTTAAATGAAAACGGTGTGGTGGGGGACTCCAGATATATCCTGTCTTCATATGTGTTGCCTTCCTCCAGCAAAACTCCCAAGACTCAGGCTTTTTCACGGGCCTGTATTCTTACTTTGCTCCATCCTCTACGGTAATAGGGTCTTTGGTGCTTTCATTTCTTCTTTACAAACTTTCATCTGATTCCATTTCACCAACTAACATATTCAACCAAATGTCACCTTGTATTCCACTTTCTGAAACCTCATCCCTCCTGCTTTTTGTCTTTCCCTTACATCAGTACTTTTGAAACGCCATATATTTCTTTGTTTGTTGTTGATTTAGCTTTGAGTTTCGAATGTAATCACATTTTTTGGGTAGTTTTCAGTGTGTTCTATTGTTAAGCAACATTTGTTCAGATTTTTTATTAAATATATTTTGTAGTTGTTTAATTTTGTCCGGTATAACGTCTAAGATGTTAAAATATCCTTTTTCTACGTACACAAAATCATGTCTGGACAGCTGTGCAATGTATACGATTACGGTAAATGTTTAATCTTTGCACTACTTCAGTGTCCGTACTTCTTCATATTAAATCTGCACACAGCTCTTGCATGTCCCCTTTTCCCTTTTTCTTCACTTCTGTTGCATTAAATGTCATTTTATAGCGAGATAATAATAGGAGTCTCCATGTCCTCAGGGGTCTCAGGGTGACCTGGGTCTGCCGGGTACTTCTGGGCAATCGGGGCTGGCGGGGCTTCCAGGTCCCATGGGGCCCGTCGGACCATCCGGACCTCCAGGGCCACCGGGGCCTGGGTACCGAGGAAGTAATGTGAGTAGAGCTTAAAATATTGAGCTACGATAAAAGGTTCAAACCAAACCTAAGTGGTTGAAATTTTAAAAACTGGGAAAAAAGGGATCACAGCGGTGTGTGCAGTAACAAAGAATGGAAATATTATGAGTTTTGAGGATTTGAAAGAGAAATATGGGTTGGAAAATGAAGACTTTTTTAGATATATACAGTTGAGGGACTATTTTTTATAAAGGAAATACAAACCCAATCCTGAAACGGAGTGATTGATATATTCATACGGACATACAATCGGACCAGACTCAATGCTTATTCAGCGCTATATCAAACTATAAGAGAATGTAGAGATACTTCTACCCATTACATCAAGAGAAAATGGGAGAAGGAACTAAACATTGAAATGGAGGAACACAACACACCACCACAAACTAAAGGACATGGAAGGAGTTTGGATGGAAACACCTCAAAAGATACTCCCAAAATAAAGAGTAAACAAACCTGTTAACAACAAACATGTCGGCCGGTATGTGGGAACCCCTGCTTCTGGGCACGAGAGACAAAGCAGAATTGCTAACATGCATAATGACAATGGGAAAGGAGTCTATCCAGTGTATAGGATATACATATATATCATGTATTTATATATCAACCACTGGCATGTGAAAAGGATTTATTCCTCTAATGTTAAAGAGCATTGTGGGACAGTTGTAATGTGTGCATATGGTAGTAGTATTATTGTTCCTTATTTTAGAATGAAATGAAAAATGTTAACCTGCTAATAATCCCCATTTTCAACTAAATATATCAGTATTTGGTTGTCATTTTTTCCAACACTTTTTGTTGTATTCTAACTACCGTACTTGTTCCATGTTTACCTTTACTCCTGAAGCTTGTGTACTGATGTATCAAAAAGGATTTAGTTATTGAGAGAAAGCGTCATGTTCTCTCCCCACAGAGTAACCAGGATCAGTACGATGTGAACAACGGCTATGCTGGTCTCCCCGGCCCACCTGGACCTCAGGTACACACACACACACACACACACACACACACACACACACACACACACACACACACACACACACACACACACACACACACACACACACACAGCATTTACAGACAATGCCCTGCCTCACGTTCCCATGTTTTCTGTTCTAGGGTCCATATGGTATTGCAGGACTTCCTGTGAGTAGATGACATTTTCAAAGACAGTAGAATAAATACTGTTATAATAATTAAATATGTGGAAAACATTAGATGTACAGAAGAGCTGTGTATTTCAAACATAATCTGCATATCTAACTATCCTATGGGATAAAGTACAGAGTCTTGGGTGTTTTTATATTTTTACATTACAGCAATAAGTAGCTTTTTATGAAATGTCAACACTAAATATAGCTTTGTATTAATGGAACGTTATCCCTGTGTGAATCAATGCAAGTTGTATCTAAAAATATTAAATTTTCTGAAGGTTAAATATCAGTTTAACACCCCGGTCCTGACCTATGAGTATCAGTGATGTTTATTATGATTCTCAGGGTAAATCCGGTTTGCCCGGTAACCATGGAGACAAAGGAACCGAGGGGTCACGAGGACCTTCAGGGATGCCAGGAATGGACGGGTTCCCTGGACAGTCGGTATGAGACCACGAATTCTGGGATTTGTAGTTTTTGAAACCACTGGACTCTGAGAAAGATATTCCAGTTTTCCATTTGCCTGTTTCAATGATTGTGTTCTTTTCTTTAGGGCGATAAGGGAGACCGAGGACAGAGAGGAGAGCAGGTCAGTTGAATGACAGTTACATTTTTATAAGACAAGAAATAAGAGAATTCCGTTCCAATGCCCCCAAGTTTTTTAACCGTTCAAATCTGCTCTAACCAAGGTGTGCTGAAAAATAAATCCCACTTCATCATACATTCAGTTTTAATTAGTTATTAGCATAGTTAAACCCCCCTAAAAACGTAATGGTTCCCTATTCTACTATTTTTTAACAGTATATTATAGGTCTCAGATGTATACAGAACATGACTCTGAACTGCTGAAACTCCAAACAGATCATTGAAGCATCCCATAAACCCCTCTGTTTCAGCCCTGTTTCAAAAGTGCTGATTCTGTGTCTGTAGCTTTAAATGCTAATGAGCAGCTGCTGGCCACGCCCCTCTGAGGTCATTTATGTAAGCCATTCAGAAGGTAACGCACAATTATCATCCAGCAAAGTCATAATAGTCTGAAGTGGGATCTACAAGTGTTTCTAAAGCAAAGAAAGGTTATAATGCAATCCTTATAATTAATCTAAGACAATATCTAATTATATTCATGTGTTATTCTATTTACTCAAGTTCCTTACGTTGGACAAACAATATGGGGATTGTAAAATCAAGATGTTTTTTTCTTCCTCTTCACCTTAATGATTCCTGATTATATAAGCAGGAATCATTTGTATACATTTAGCAACATGTGCTTATTCAGAATCTGTTTTATTACACATACAAGGAATTTGCTTGGGTATACTGTATGGTGCATTCAAAGACTCAGAAAAAAGCAAAACAACCATAAAGAATAATACTAATATAAAAACGATTTTATGATTATTACTACCGGTACATACAAAAATAAAGACAAAATTGACACACAATGTTATTATGTGAGAAACTGAGTACAGTAAAATATGACAACTATATTGAAAGTGGAGCATCATACACAATGTAAATATGAATCATAAACATATTTCATTTTCTCGACATATGCATGCGTGTTTTGCTCTTCTTATCAATGTTTTATGTCCTTTTGTGTGGCAGGGTCTTCCAGGGCGTGACGGGGGGGGAGCGGGGCCTCCAGGGCCCCCTGGACCACCAGGAGAAATCACCTACCAGAGAAGTGACGTGAGTCAGTTAAAACAAAGACATTTGAAATGATTGTAACCCTCACATAACTGCCTGCACTTTAATCATGTGGACTAACGTCACTGCCTGCTGCTGTTTGTTCACCCCCCCCCCCACTAACGGACCTCCCTCTGTAGTCTAATGAAGTGATT